GGGACAAAAAAAAAAAGGCCAGAAGCAAGCGGAGCTGTGGCTCAAGTGATAAGGCTTTAGCCTTGAACAACAACACAAAAAGCTAAGGGACAGTGCTTAGGTCCCACAAATGCAAAGCAAAACCCTAGTGGCCTCTCCTGTACCTGAGACGGCCAGCATCTAAAGTCATCCCCTGTGTGTCTCCAGGAAGTCTTTGACATCTCCTGGAAACAGCAGAAAGAGCTACATGATCAAGACCACAGAAGGGACCCCCACCGCCAGGCAATAAATCTCTCCCACTTCCCAGCATGGTCTGCCCCTTAGGTAACTCAAAGCTAGTTCCCTCAGATGGGAAGGATGACAACTGTGTGGTTTCTCCATTAGAAAGAGCAAGAAGAGCTCCTATCTGACCCCCAAGTCCAGCATTCGCAATAAACCACTGTGCATCTTTCCAATAGCATGCGGATGGATGGGATTAAGAAAAGATGAGTGAGAATGACAGGAGGTGACACTGACTTGTGAGACTGAAACCCCTTTGTAAAACTACTTTAAAAAATTTTAAAGTACATTTGAAGGGCAGTGATCACTTACATAATGCTTTTCAATGACCTTCAAAAGAGTAACTGTAACCTCTGTGTGAAGTCTCGTGAGTACTTTAAACATTCACCATGTCATGGGAAGTTGTATTATTTCAATTATAAAGACATACAGTGGTTTGAGGTAGTGAATAGCACACTATTCCTTACTTAACCACACCTTGCTCTTTAACAGAATCACTGAGAAATAACTGGCTACTTCTGTACAGTGAATATTCTCTGGGAATCACACAAAATGATGGGAAATAATGTATGAAAATGACTTGATAAACAGCACATGAATAAGACCTCACTTATCACTGTAAAGATGGTGGGGGAGGAGGAACAACCTTCCAGAGCTGCTTCTACACTTCTGCACAGGATGAGACTGATTCCTGATAAATAATTTTCATAATTTAAATGAATGTGATCCAAGCTCATTAACAAGGCAGGCAATTATACATTGTGCAGTTATAAAGTTCTAATTGCCATGGATATTTAAGACTATCTATTTCCAGAGGGTTTCTATTTTACGTATGAACTTAGAAATATCTGTGCACTAAAATTAAGACTTTAACATTATCTTTTATCTTACTTTGTTTATACCTTTCTTCCAGAAAGGATTTTGAGGAAGACCACATGAACTGTACAATAGCATATTAAGTGTCAGCGTTATAGGTCAGCAAGTTCTAGAATTGTAAACACACTCGAAAAATTGCTCAGAGGAAAGGACGCTGATAAAGGAAGTTATAAAACAAGATCCTCTGAAAGTCTTCAAATAGATTCATAGATTCCTTGGTCTTTTAGGATGACAACAAATTTCCTTAGAAACAAACCTCGCTAAGTGGACCATTCTAGTTGTTCCTGCGACCCCTACGGAGCAGAATACTATCACGCCTGGTTATGGTAATCACTCAATATTTTTCATTTTATGACATAACTGGGTAGCTATTTTTTCCTTAATCCTTTAGTGTCTTTTCATGAATGGTTACCAACTTTAGTGGCCATTAGTTTTATAAATATAACTATAAATATTAGTCCTTTTAGTGCTATAAATGTTCATTTTTAAATGGCAAATACTGTCTACTGTGTTAAGTGCTTTGTGACTACCATAAGTGTACTGCCTCATTTAAATATTCCAAGCGATTTTTATTCTTAATATGTTCTGTGGTGATCCATTTTGTAATGCCAATAATCCCCTTTTCAAGTTTAAATCTATATTTATTTTACTCTAGTTCTCTTCCCAATTAAGCCACAGCTTACCCACAAATATATGGGTTTATATTTCTAAAAAATTAGGTTTGTAGTATCAGCTATGACTTATTTGGCACATATTGTGTGTCATATCTGTGCTGAATAACTCTTCTCTCATTTAGTAATCTGTTTTTCTCCCTTATCTTTCAGAGGTTGCACAAAGGGGTTTCCAGCCAGCATGTCAGTTTATGAGTGCAGTGCATATTGGCAAATGTCACCCCTTCCATCATTCTCTCCTATCACTCCCAAAGCTGAACACCTTATATCCCCACAGTCATCCTAAAGAATAAATATCTCCTGATTTGTATATTTAAAAGCTAAGTTTTAGGCAATTAAGCTTGCCTGATTAGTCAAACTAAGATTCAAACTTGGGTCTGAACCTCCAGTCATACTAGGTACATGGAAAACTTTGTCCTTTCTCAGCTGAAATCATGAGAATACGTTTCTTTACACAGGGAGATGAGAACTGGCTTCTGCTCACAAAACATGAACTGTTCTAGAAAAGATCTAGAAAAGTGACACAGGAATTGCTTGGGTATGGCAATGGAGCTTACTATTTTAGCTGTCCGTGTTTCCAGAAAACAGTATTATCTGACACAAGGCATGATGAAGACTAGAGGTACAGTAATGGACTGAACCTAAAGGATCGAGTCACAAAAGCATCTAAAAAGGTGTTTTTAAATTCTCACTCACAGAGCCTTCCATGGATAGCTTTAGCTAAACAGGAGAACACTACTGAAACAGAACTGTGCAACCAGTCTCCTGGACCAAAAAGAGCCTGAGACGGGCTCCTCTCCGAGGTGGTTGTCAGGATGGGACCTAGAAGCATACAGATGTGTGCTCACTCTGCAGACAGCTAGGGCCCAGAGGGCTGGACAGTACGGCAGTGAGCAGACCCAGCTCCACAGTCAAGAGCCAGGCTGGGTAAAGCAGGGTTCCTCCAGTTCCCTGACAGCCCATCTACAATGTTCCTTCCTGTTTCCCTAGGGGCTGACAAGAGGGATTTTCTGTTCTCTTCAGTGTTTATCCAGCACCTCCCACCTTGGCCCCACATTATTCTTTACCGGCAACAACTCCCAGCCGTGCCTGGCGAGGAGGAAAAAACTGGACTAAACTCGGTGTTAAACCAGTTTAAGGCAGGGGCACATTCCTACCTTTGGCCAAGGACCAGTACAGGGCTGGAAAGGTACACAGTTTCTGCCCGCTCCTCCTCTCTATAGGAGGGGAGGTGTTAGGATGTTTGGTGGAACTGTTTTAAGGAATTCTCAACACAAACCTCCTCAGACTCAACACAACCTGGCTGCGATGTGTGGCACGTGTACATGACAAACAGTAATAACTACTCGCTTAGTATCTTTTCAGTGTTAGTTTCAGTGGTTTCCCTGGTAAATACCCCAAGGAAAGGCTGTTTAAGTGTCCCTAAAGCCGGCCACGCCCCCAGCTTTCTCCCTCTAGGACCTAGACATACCCAGTAGTGACAGAGAACAAAACGTAGCCAAATCTGCTTCAGCCTCAAGGAGACTCTAAACACAAGCAAGTGTGCACAATTCTGTCCTGTCCAAATGTCATTTCTGTCCCTCTCTAAAGTACAAGACTGGTGGCACGGAATACAAACTACCTTCAAACCACCAACCTTCCACCTTCAGCCGCACACTAACCCTGTCCCTGCCTCCTCCTCTCCTGGGTCTCTGATGGATGCTAGCCTAAAGCAGATGCTGTGTCCAGTCAAAGAAGATGAAAAACATAAATTCCATCTTCCCCCACGGTTCCCAATAAATACCATGTGATTCATAAGCATAGCAATGGCAGTCATAAATGGGACGTGGTTACATAGTTTTCCAGAGAACCTTGCCATTCCCCACCACCACCCCCCCCCAGCCCCCAGCCCCGGGCCTTTCCCTACTCACCCCCATGGCCGTCCATCTGCTGCAGAAAAGGTGGAGGCACTAGGAGCAGAGAGCCCTTTCCTGCTTACTTGCTCGAGAAGCAAAGCCTTCCCTCCTCCCAAGGTGAAAGAGACAAGAGTCTGAACTTAAGCAAAGCCTGCTGGTGGAGGTTCATCAGTGAGGAAACTCAGCGGAGAGAGTAGCAGCTTCCAGCTTGGCAGAAAATGAGAGGGAGAGAAACAGAAACACAAAGAGAAAGACAGAAACGAAGAAAGGCATTAACCCGGCCAGGAGTCAAATAAGTGCCTGGGGCCCGATTGCTGAGAAGAGGCTGCACAAGGTGCAGAGGATGTGTGCCTCTGTGGGACCAACCTATAGTTTGGATGTTAGGAGAAACAGGGTGTCCCCAGGGCTCATACACGAGGCTGAGCCCCTTTCACACCTTTCTTGGCTGGTCAGTGTGTGAGATCCTGGACATTCTTCTGGGGGGTGGGTCTTCATAATGAATGCTCCGGGCTAACAAAGGGGGCACACAGACTTCAACTATGAGCCATAAATTTGAGAGTGTCTTTCAAGTAGAGGATTTGGGACTGCTGCGGTGGCCGTGCTGAGAGAGACGTCTGGAGATGGCTGTTCAGGACCTACAGTGTGTCTCCTGTTGGGCCCTTCAAATGTCTACTTTCTACGAAGAATTCCAAGTTTACAGGTGCTCTCTCTCTCTCTGCTTCTCTTTCCTCTCTCTTTCTCTCCATCTCTCTCTGTCTCTGTTTCTCTGTATCTATCTATCTCTCTGTCTCTGTCTCTCTCTCTCTCTCCTTTCCTCCTCTCCCTGCTCTCTCTTTGGAACTAGCTAGTATAGACTCCTGGGATTTAAATAGGAATGGAGAGTGGTAGAATCAATTTGATTTATAATTTGATTTAGAGATAGATGTTAGGAAAAGAAAGGGACACACGCACAGGAAGGCCTAGCGTAAGACCCTCAGGAGAAGGCCCTAATTATGAAACAGGCCTCACCCCCCCCCAAAATGGGACTCAGTTCAACAGGATACTAAGTGGGTGACACTAGGTATGATCTTAAGAAAAGTGTGCCATCTCTAGAAAACTTTCAAGCTCTTAACTCCAAACATTCACATGTGTGATAAACCCACATTCTGGAAGACCTAGGTGCCTACTGGTCTACCCTGGCCCACATGCCTCTCCTAACACTGTGAGCACAGCGAGGCAGGCTTGGCCCCTCCCTCTATCCTGCAGCCCCTGCCCCGACCCCTGCATGGAGCTGGGCTGTTAGTTAAAGCTTGGTCTTTACCTGAGATCCGCCTGGGCACCTCGGTGATGGCAGGGAGCCCAGTGCCCCGCGTGGAGGAGAGCGGGGTGGTGGAGTGGATGGACGGAGACGTCATCTGGCTCAGGTAAGAGGGGTAAGTCTGGTCATAGGACCATGGTGGCGAAGACTGGGCCTGCCTGGGATCTGAGGAAAAAAATAATAAAAAGGGTTTTTTTAAGTCTTTAGTTTAGCAGCCACTGCAGCCTTAGAAACATTCCATCTAAAAGTTAGAAAGGACAAAATAGGAAAATAAATTGAAAAACATTTCCGAAATGACTACTGCTCATCATCTCACTCCTTCATGTCTTGATGCAAAGAGCTCTCTAAGATTTCAAGTCTCAATAAATGCAACATAAATGGACCATTGTGCCTAAAGAGGATCTGCCCTCTTATTACTTGAACGTACTTCTTTTTAAAAGCATATTTTACCTGTAAGTGGTTGTATAAGGGAGTCGCCACTCAACAAAGCCGTTTGTGAACACCAGGTGTCTCGATCCCTATCAGCCCTTCTAGCATTCTCACCCACCCGCACTCTCCTCCCTTCCCTGGATTTTCTTAACTTTGGAGGATACATACTGAAATTAGTTTTTGCCACTTAACAAAGTCATTTACAAATGCAATGCATCTTGTCACATACATATTTCTATTTGGCAAGTTTAAGAGTCATAGAAAACACTCTGCTTGGCTTGTTTTTGCAAGGGGAAATCAGGGTTATTTATTTATTTATTTTTGGTATTCTCTAAAACTCTCCCACTGAACATTCTTTTTTTTTCCTTTTTTTTTTTTTTTTTTGTCAGTCATGGGGCCTGAACTCTGGGCCTGGGCGCTGTCCCTCAGCTCTTCAGCTCAAGGCTAGCGCTCTACCACTTCCCACTGAACATTCTTTTACTTCTTTTATTCAATTAAAAGGTGGGAAGGTGGCTCAGTGGTAAGAGTGCTTGCCTTGCATTCATGAGGCCATGGGTTTGATTCCTCAGCACCACATAAGCAGAAAAAAGCTAGAAGTGGCTCAAGTGGTAGAGCGCTAGCCTTGAGCTGAAGAGCTGAGGGACAGAGTCCTGGCCCAGAGTTCAGGCCCCACAACCGACAAAAAAAAAAAAAACGTTGTTGGAAATTTTAACTTGTAGAACTTGTAGCCTGTGCCTTTGACTGTCACGTATCCAGAAACTATCTTTCAGATGCACTTTGTGGTTTCTATTGCATGATTCCGTGATGTGAGTGAGCCTGGTGCATCTCAGCTCCCGCAGATTAATGAAATAGGACTTCCTGGCTGGGGGCGGGGGTGGGGGGGGGAGGGGAGGGGGTCCGTGGGGGTGGGGGGAGGAGGGTTAATGAACAGAGGAGGGATGAGAATGGCGGGAGTGACAGGTGAGGTGAATGGAAAGGCGTGCAGGAGCTCCATCTCAGCCAGTGTTGTGACTGATAAAGGGAGGGGCAGGAACCTGGGAGAATGACCGAAACGGAAGTAGTGACTCTGATCAAAATGCACTGTGCCCATAAATGGACGTGGTAAATGATAACCCTCCTATACAACCATTTGTAGATTTTTAAAAAGAGATTTTAAAATAAATAAAATAGAAGATGATCTTTAAGAAAAGGACAAGATTTAATTTCCAAGTTAACTACCATTTAAAAAAAAAAACCCTGAAAAGTTTGATAGCCATCCAGTTTCAATGTGCAGCACAGATGAATTTCTATCAGCAAGAAAAAAATCACACAAAACAAGAGAACAGGGAGACACTGTTAATCCTGTTGAAATGTTTTTAAAATGTCTCATGTCTGGAATGTGTCCTGCTGACACTATATCCCCATAATAATAAAAAATAATTATCAGAAAAGTAGTTAGAGGTAATCACTGATCATTAACTCTGTGTGTGTGTGTGTGTGTGTGTGTGTGTGCGTGTGTGTGATCTCAGCTCTTACTTGGCTTTCTTACTCAGAGCTGCTACTCTACCACTTGAGTTATTCCTGTAGAACAGCTTTTTTTTGCTGGTGAATTGGCAATAGAGTCTCACAGCCTTTTCTACCCAAGCTGACTTCAAACCACAATCCTCCAGGTCTCAGCCTCCTGAGTAGCTAGGATTACAGGCATGAGCCATTGTCACCCAGCCTTTGATGTCTTTTGATGGATCTCTAAGGAGTTCCTTAGAGGTCGAAATGCAAGGCTAAGTGGATTTAAAAGGCCTTCAATCCACATAAGAAAAACAAATTGTAGATTTGCTATATGTTTCCAACACAGAAAAAGTATGTACTATTTAAAACTGTTTTGTTCTTACTTGAAGGCCAACCAAAACAAATTATAAACAAATTTCTCCTAACACATGTATTTTACACTAACTTTAAAATTTCATGTTTATTTTTAAACTTCTAATAGACCAGACTGTTTCCAGGAGAGCTTGGCATATTCAAATATGCGTGAAATCGTAAGGTTCAGAAGTAAAATCAGAGCTAGTTCTGAGAGTTAGTTCTCCTCCTTCTAGTGTGACCTTGGTTTTATTACTCAGCCACATAGAGCATCAGTTTACCCATCTTTAAAAGGGTAATGTCTATATGATAGGGATGTGAGATTACCAGAAGAAAGCACACAAGACATCCCAGCAAGTACTGATTATCCTTAAAAAAAAAAAAAATCTTTTGATAACACTGAGACATTGGAATATTTAAAACAAATCTAAACTGGGATGAATATGTTAGGAATAGACGTAAAATTACTGCACCTCCTATCACTCTTTGAAAAAAACACTTATTTTTCAAATATTTTTGTGCTGGGTGTGGTGGTACAGGGCTGTACTGCCCAGCTATGAAGGAGGCAGAGACACCAGGAACATAGGTTTGAGACCAGCCTGTGTACTAGTAGTGGTGAGACTCCCAAAACAAAATACCAAAGGGCTTGTGGGCTCAGTTCAAAGGCAAGAGCCTGCCTACATTGCAAGAGGCCCAGTGTTAAATAGCCAACACTGGGAAGTAAAAACCACTAAATGCATTTGAATAATTTATCTTTAAAAAATAAAAATGAGCATATTAAAATACGATGTGGATTTTTTTCCTGTGGTGATTCCTCTTGTACAGTCACTGGTTTTTCTATACAGTTCAAATAGTTGTGTTTCAACTATTTCACGCTTATGGGTTCAATTTAGAAATAATTTTATTTAAAGGCTGAATGGTGTGCATGTATTTCCTTGAGTGGGAATACTAAAGAGAATCTGGATATTGATCTGATATTCACTAACATCAACAGAGACAGAGGGGGAAAAGAAGGAACATTTACCTGGGTTTGAAAGTGCAGTACTGCAAATGATTCACATAAGTTTTTTCCTTCAAGAAACCTAAAGGACACTTGATCATTAAAAGCAGCGAATTCAACCGCCTTCCCTCAGCCCACTGTATGCATCTGTGCAATTACCACAGCAAATCTTGCCCTTTGTACTATTAATGTATGCTAATAAAAAATAATGTTCTTCTAAAAAGGTAACAAACATCTGTGTTTTACAACTCTCAAGGCAGACACTGTGATACCTTTGCTGTGGACGAGCTTCCTGACTTACTTCCCTACTTAGAAAAAAAAAAGTAGCAAGTGGTCTTCACTCCTCGTAGCACAGGAAAGCAACTGCCTGAAGGGGAGGGCTCCTCTCAAGCAGCATTTCCAAAAGATCAAAAGGACAAGAACCTTATAGCTAAAGGAGTTGGGTATAAAAGGCCAAACTCTGACATTCTACTTTAACATCCCCATCCAACATCTTGAACAAGTAGTTTAAGCAGTATGTTTGTGTATGTTGTCTATAGACAGGGCATTCTTCCTAAAACTAGGGGGTGAGGGGAGGGAAAGAGTACAAAGAAATGTAAAGAATGACTGAAATACTCAGTTGACTTATACTGATCTCAAAGGATTAAGAGTCCATACTGAGACAGCCTTCCAGTTACCCTTTCTCCAAGAGGCCACCCAGTATACATGGGAAATCAACTGGTCTCCTCATGAGAGGATCTGAGCAGGAGGCTCAGCTCTGAGATCTGCAAGCTTATAGCTAAGTTAGCTAACTTTCTAAGTCTCCAGTTCCCTTTCTAGAATATAAGACAGTGGTATATGGTAAAGTCAATGTAGCCATGTATATCAACTAGGAAGACTAATCTGAGCTAGACTCCTAGCTTCCTGCTATACTAAACAATTTACTAAAACTTGTGGGCACCCAGTGGCTAATCTGTAAAATGACAGTAATCTTATTTCAGGTTTTTAAAAAAATCATTATTACCTGAGCATATCTGATAGGTTATCTGGTACTCTCAATGTCTATAAAGCAAGTAGGTACAGGGCTCTCTGGAAAATGAGTTCCATAAAAACTTCTGTTGTGTTCTTTTGGAACATGTTGATGAGGGGATACATGTAAAAGCATTTTGAGGTGTGTAAAGTTTTATAATAAAACTATTACTGTGTTTGTAAGGCTCCTTGTGGCAGAAGTTCTGCCATATGACATTGGATGTCTTTCTCAATGTGGCTGAGAGAGTTAGATCCTCTGAATGAAAAACCAGATACTATATAGTGAATGAAAATTCAGCATCATTATTCAGGAAAGTAAATCTCTGACTCTATATTATTTGGGTGGCTGGATTCACTTAATTACTCTTATCCATGACCAGACTCGGTGTCACTCAGTATAAGGCCTTGCACATAGTAGATAATCAATCACTATTGAATGAGCCTCCAACATGGTTTGGGTGAATTACGGAATAATAAAATGAGGTTGCAGTGGATCATTCTTCAGTTTCCTCTTAGGCTATAAAAGAATTCTACCAGTAAGGTTTTAAGTTTTATGTATACTTCCTGACTACCAAGATATGTAGTAAAGCAGTCTACTGAAAGATGGTTTTGCTTTCAGTGGAGGCCTTCCCTGAAGAGATCCAAGATAGAAAAAACAACTTTTCACTACATCTAGGTGAAAAGTTCTTCCTTTGTTGTTGGTGGTAGGTTTTTTTTTAAGTCCCTCAGAAGACATACCATAGTCCAATCAATCTCTTTCAAAGTCACTGGTCTAAGAGTCTATGATGATGACATTCTGAGAGAGAGGAATTACTAAAGAAAAACCAAATACAAGAATTTCCTATGGGATTCACTAGATTTGGAATAAGTAATTTTAAAGAGGAGTTACTCA